AAAGAAAGTCATACAGGTTTGCATAAAATTGAGTAAATGATGACAGAATTTTCATTTTTGAGTGGACTAGCACTTTAAAGTGTGTTTTCAAGCAAGCAGAATGGCCTTAGGGTCTATTGGATGCCAAACTGAGCATGAGGGTTAAATCCAACGATTTTTACACAAGTTTGTATCTCTACAAAGATTCTTACTGTCTTTTTTTAGTATATTTCATTCATCTCTCTCTCTTTCCCACTTTCTCCTCAAGGCTTGGCACTTGAGAGTGTAATACAACACCAGTTTTGGGAGACAAAGAGAAAGAGCCCAGTTCTTTTCAGGAATACACTTTTGCCAGTGCAAAATATCATTCCTTTTTTGTGTGCGTGTAAACCACTCTGTCCATTCAGCAGGGTTTACAACATAAATTTAACAGCATAATTAGAATCCTGAATTTCTCTAGGTTTCATCATGCATACGTGATTATAACGCATGTTTCCTCAGGGTAAAAAATATAAACACAACCAGCTCATAAAGGAGCTATTTGTATGCACACAATTAGATTAGCGTAACTTCAGTTTAGAGAGGGGTTGATTTCTCTGTGGTGTAACTTTTGGTGCATTTAGTGCAAGCCTGTCGGATATGAACTATGGTTAATTCACTTTAGGATGCACATTTACATAATCATAGTTTTGTTTTAGAAGATGTGTCTGCTTTGACAACCTAACAGTAAAATACTAAATTCATCAGGGCTTCACTAAAGAGACTTTTTGGACTTTTAACAGTATCCTGCACCACCAGAGGGAGTGCTCACCTGTGAAATGATGTCTGAACACCCAGCGATGAGGGTCCAAATGTATCAGAGGGTATCAAGCCTCCCTGGGAGAGAGCGCTGATCTTGGCATATGCCAGGTAAGGAGTGATCTAAGAGAGCTGATACATCTGATACCTCTGTTGTCAGGTCAGGTTATGTGTCTGATGTCTCAGAAAAAGCAGACGTGAGCTTTATTCACCCAACCACAATTGCATAACTGTGTTCCTCAGTTTTAGTGAACCAATAAAGAAACATGCTCCTGTGTTATTAAAAAAAAAAAAAAAAAAAATATTCTTTAACTATGCTAAAAATTTGAGCATTTGATATTTTGTAGAACACACCAAAATGTTTGGATCCTCAATTTTCTTTTGCCGCCTTAGTGATTTCTTGTGCACTTACAGTATTTCATCCCAAACTTGACCAAAACATATTCTTTTAATAAAAGTAAGGCCATATTTTATCTGTCTTAAATGATCATGGCTATTTGAAAGGTGTGATTGGCAAATTGTTGTAGTAGTAGACAAAACAATACATGGGCATAAGTGAGATCATATAACAATTATATAGTAATGACTTTTTTTTTCACTATGGGATAAACACTCACACATTGAATATTATTTTTCTTTTAATTTGATGATTTGTAAAAAAAAATATTATTTTATTGTGAAATTATTTTATTGTGATTCTTTTTATATGAATGTATGTAGCACATAATATATATATATATATATATATATATATATGTGCGTGTCCTGTATTTGTATTTATTATTTTCTTTAATTTTGTTTGCATGTGCAATCATGTGTGTGTATATATATATATATATATACACACACATATACATTATGTATATACATGTATTGTAATAGATTATGTAAATAAAAAATATTGTTCTGTATTTATTTTCTTTTTGATTTTATTTGCATGTGCAATCATATATCTATATATATATATTCTCAGTAAAGCCCTTTGTAAACTATCAATTTTATAATGATTTATAAAAATCTATGATATTGTGGATAATATTTATTATTTTAATGTGAAAGTGTGTGCTAATTAGATGATGGCGTATGATTATGATCTATTCTAATATGAGAGGAGCTCATTGAAACAGCAGGAAACAGTCCTGATATAGGCTAGCTCTGGGTGAACGAGCGAGCGAGCGTGCGTGCGTGTGTGTCACTCATATGTGTGTACAGTGAGGTGAGTAATGAGCGCGAGAGCGGCTGTTTGTCTGAGCGCCTTCTGCTACCTCTACACTACGGGCTGGAATATGCAGACAGCGTCTCCAACAGCGGAGTCATGATCTGCCGTCTTCCCCGGGACTCGTCTTCCGCTCGGAGCCGAAGCCGAACAACATTTTGAAGCATCTGATATTTAACCAGTGGCTTTCCTTCGGGGCATCGCGTTGGTCGCTTAACACAGCCGAGGAGGATCTTGCGCAGTGGCGGCGGACACTTCGGGTGATGTCGGCTGGCCGTCACTCTTGACATCGGCCTCCGCTCGCAGACGCACAGCGGAATGGGGTAGGCAAGCTCCGCGCTCACCCACCCACACAAGCTCGGCGCAGAATGCGTACTAAACGCCGAAGCATCAAACTGTCAGTTAGCTGCATGTATCGCGGCGCGTCTGTAGCGTAGCGCTCCGGCGCTGAACTCGCAGTCACAGCAGCAGCTGTAGGGGATCCTGGAGTTAGCCTCGCCTGCTAACTGCCTCTCTTGAATGCAATGGATGCTACTGAGCTGACGATAGGCTCGGGGTAACGTCGGGCCCGTCTCCATGTGACCGTAAAAAGACACGAAAAGCCAGGAAAGACTTGTAGCTGCTGCTTAAGAGTGAGTTAGGGCGTTTGAAGGTCTGGGTTGAGGAAAACGAGCTAGGCAGTTACAATGTCTCGACAGATTAGCAGAAAGAGGCAGGCACTTGAAGAATGTGACGGTGAATGTGGCCGCTGCTCACCATCACCTTCATGAAGTCGATGGAAAAAAAGCGGTTGTCTCTAGTAATACCGTCAGCATTAAAGATGGGCTTTTTACAAAAGTGTGCTGCAGCTGACAGGGCATGCATAGGCCTACAGGACATTAGTTTCTCTTTGAAATTTGAATATTGTGCAAATGAGTGTTGTGCACACATTCAACACACTTGAATGTTTGAATGTCCTTGCATCACACACAAAAAAAACATATCAATCCAAGAGGCATTTACTGTAAACAAAGATAGCACAAGCAGAGTTTGTAAGCAAAACATTACAGGAAGTGTGTTTGGCATGTTTCAAATGATAAAATGCACTTCAGAATGAAGATTTAAGATTATTTAAACATGCTCTATTGTCGAACATTAATGGAACATGTTCTTAGTTAAATGGGGACGTTAATTTACTTAACATCGTGTCGTTAGAAACCTGTCTGCTTGCTTTCTTCCGTGAAACACGGAAGGAGAATGTTTGAAGAATGTACAGGTTGCTCCTTTTCGTGTAGTTACTATGAATGGGGATTAGCTTTCAAGCTTCAAAGAGGAGGCCAAAGTATCATCGAAGTGATTCATATGATATTCCAAAGCCAGCTTTGTGTGAGGAGCAGACTGAAATTTAACTCCGATGAGCTGTTAACTGCTGTAATTGGATCATCAAGTCAGTGAGCTGAAATCAAGAACCACGTTAGTCAAATTATTGAATGAATCATTCAAACTGGTTTTATGAAATGGATCAACAGATTGATTGAAAAGATGATTTCATTCATAAACCAGACATTTTCTCTAGTGAACTTTTGTAAACATGCAAAGGAGAGTCAGGACAGATGGCAATCACTACATATTTGTTCTGTTAGCTGTCATATATGGTTTCAGAAGGCCTAGTTGTATGGACCACTTTTATAGTTCTTTATGCGTGTGTTTTTTTTAAAAGTAATTTTGACTCTTGACCGCCCCAAGTACTGTAAAAAAAAGTACAGTACCCCAGTACAGTAAAAAAGTGGCCAGGACATGTTTCATGGAATAAAGTCAGTCATATGGGTTTCTAAACATTGTCAGAAATTTAATTTTTTCGGTTGTTCTGCTAGGACACTTGTGTGAACTTGAGGGGAACTGACTTTAATTTTCAGTAGTTGCAAAATGATTTAGTGAAGTGTATTCTAGTTTCAGAGAAAACAATGATATATTTTGTGTCTAAGGGAGTAAAATTAAAATGTTTTTAAAGGGGCCAAGTGTTTTTTGGCATCACTGTAGCATAATTCACCTCAGTATATTATCGGATATTGTTGTGGAAAATCACATGATTGATTTATTGGAGAATCTAAAACAATCTGATGACCTTTCAAAGATGATGTAGTCATATTTATCCTGCCCGCAAGCTTTTTTGATGTTGGCATGACAACTAATGGTCTTGAAGGAATAATTCAACCATGGTCAACTTTGGAACACAGTTATTCTGCAGAATTGGATGTGCCTGAACACTATAAAACTAAGACTGGTGCACTACATTCCCATTTACTTTCCAACTACGTTCCAATTCATAAGCTATATATGAAACTTGTGAACCTCAAAATAAGGTTTATTAAAGGGGTCATATGATGCGATTTCATTTTTTCCTTTCTCTTTGGAGTGTTACAAGCTCTTGGTGCATAAAGAAGATCTGTAAATTTGCAAAGACTAAAGTCTCAAATCCAAAGAGATATTCTTTATAAAAGTTAAGAGTCTTAGCAGCATCATATGACCCCTTTAAAAGCCTCATTTATTTTCATTGTGTGGAAATGAGTGCCTGGGACTTCTGTAAAATATCTTCTCTTATATGGAAGGGAGTGACATTCCTAAAAAACAAAGGTTTCGAAAGTCCCCCCCCCCCCCCCCCCCCCCCCCCCCAACAAAAAAACAATGATCGCCCCAGATTCATTGTTAAAAAAGGGGGTTTTCCCAGTGATACCATAGAAGAACCATTTTTGGTTCCCTAAAGAACCTTTCAGTGAGCAGTTCTTAAAATAACCATTTGTTTCTTAGTGTGAAGAACATACATTTTAATAATTTGAAAGAACCTTTTTCCACTATAAAGAACCTTTTGTCCAATGAAAAGATTCCATGGATGTTAAAAGTTCTTCATGGAGCTTTATTTTTTAGAGTGAAGATGGTTCTGCAGGGTTGGATGAGCAAGCGATCACAAGATATACATTTTTGGGTTGAAATATTCCTAAATAAAATGGGTTATTTGGTGAGATAAGTGCACTGTGGGTCTTGATTTAATCTATTGTGAATTGATTGGATCGTGAAAGTGGGGGCTTGATGACATCACACGAAAATGTTAGTAGCTTCAGAGGCAGAGCACAATACTTTTTTTGATTATTTTTAAATTTGAAATAATGTGCGCCTCTGAATCAGGAGTGTGTATTAAGAAATAAAATAGCCTTCATTCTTTATATTTGAATAAACGTTTGCATCCCATTCAAACCCCTCACTAAAAGGTGCTACCCATGTTCCCCTAATTCTCTTTTTCCTGTCAGATCTCCAGGGCCTCAGTGACGCAAGCTGATTAAGTTAGTGGTGTGTGTGATAGAGGCAGAGATAGTGATACTATGAGCTGACCCCAGATCAGACAGAGCTGATAATCCTGCGGTTTCTCCTGATAGTTTTGGCACAGAGGTCTGTTTAAATTAAACACGTCTTTTCCCAATTTTTCCTCCATCATAAGAACCCGACAGACCGTCAGTAGTAGTCAGCAGTGTGAGCGGAGAGAGAGAATGTGTGAAGTGTATTTCTGGCAGTGTTTGGCTGCTCTTTAGCCCACTGGCCATGCAGGCCATTAGCTAGTGCTGTGAGCGTGATATCCTACCACGCTATTTTTAGAAGCTCACAGAGTTTGCAACTTGATCTGAATTGTCTTTGAGGCTCAAGGCTCACAGTGTGCTCTGCCCCACATTGGCTCAACACCTCGTAGACATCAGCGAGTGTTTTAGAGCGAACCGCTCGAGGGATCTGGCTTTAAAGTGATCTAGATTAATCTACAGTGTTAAAGCTCCAGTTGTAATGTCGCGGAGATGAGGGAAATGTGACGTCAATCTCAAATTGAGGTGATGGTGCATCATCTGTGAATGGCGAATGTGCTGGTTTTGTTTAGAAAATTCACCTACCCATGTCTGACCCTTTACCCTGTAGCCCAGGGTTCCTCAAATCTTGCCCTGGAGGGCCAATGCTCTGCAGAGTTTAGCTCCAACCTAGGGCTGGACAATAATTCAATATCAATTTGTATCGCGATATAATTTTTTTCAATAACGGTGATATGATTTTTAAACACATTTCCGATATTTCGACCTTTGCATAGTCACGCTGGAGGGACAGTACGGTACAGACATTATAGTGCATTGGTGGTAGGTGTTTACCCAACATAATTTTGCTTTGAGACAAGACATCAGTCCTCATTTACAGATAATTGTATGGTTACATCATTACATGACAGCAATTCCATCTAATTTATTCTGCAACAATATAGTTCATACATACAGTGACTTGAATAACTATGTTATGTTGAGGACGTAACACTTCTTCTATGATGCACATTCTTAATTTCTAAATTGAAATAAATTTTTGAGAGCATTAAGTCAAAATTGTCAGGGTGGTACAACTGTCCTGATATCATAATAAGAAAAAAAGCCTCATTACAAAAAATCGAATTCTTAAAAAGAAAACCTTATTAGTACTGTCATAAATATTTATTATTTATTAGAAATATTTCATGATATATAAATCAGGAAAGAATATAGAGAGGACCTCTGTTAAGGTGGTGCACATTTAAGGTGGTGGAATTTAATTGTAAAGTGTCATGCGGTGCGACTTGCTAAAACGCAATAATATATATATCTGATATTTGTTAAACAGATTTGACTAATAATATACTTAAAGTCCCCATGAAATCAAAATTAAAGTTTTTTTGGGCGTTGGTATCAATATGTTAGTCTTAAGGTTATCTATAAGGCAGTGTGCTCCAAAACAGTGACAAAATTCGCATTTAGAAGATATAAGCATTCAAAGTTTTTAAATGGTAAACAAACAAAAGTATAGTAAAACAAATACATGAATACGAATGCAACAGTATGTTTTAAGAGCTTGGCACATAATTTAAAAAAAAAAAAGTTTTTTTTATTTGTATTTATTGTGGACACTCTTATATAGTTACAGACTAGTATGTCGCTGACTTTATGTGAGATGTCAAGTTTCTCATGCAAACTTTCTGGTGAATTCACCACAAGTGTGTATGCAAGCAAATGTGTTCCTACTCTCATTATAAGCTGTCAAATCCTGATTGTACTTAATGAGGGATTGTGTGTATACAGTTACTTAATTAGCATAATACACGCCCAAACCATTTCCATATAAGGGCTTTCCGCGTGACCTCTCCTGTACAGCCATTCAAAAGTCTCTGCAAACAGGTTTCGGAACACTCCCTCCATCTGTCATTGGTTAAACAAGCAGACAGTCCACTCAAACCCACACCACTGATGCAGTCAATGTTGCTGTGTCGGGTTAGTTGGGATTCTTAAATAAA